CATATATACGCATGCGAATAATGATTACTTACTTGAAATATATGATGAAGATGTGGAACAAAGCACAAGGAAGAAAAAAATCAAATGCAACAAGGCACGGGACGACCCCATTGATGTGTTGTTCCTTTGTCAGATCTCAATGGAAGGTAGTGTTTTTTCCCTCTTTTAAACAAAAACCATTTTATCTCAAGAGATAGGTATTCTTATTTTTATTTATCTATTTTTCTAATTTATTTCTTGTTTTGTAGTTAGATTTTAGGTTATTCTAGGGTATGAGTATGGGAAAGACAATTGTGATAGGAGACAAAAGCGGGAGAAGAACGAATCAAAGGCATATATAGAGGCAAGGGCAATATAAATGAATGGAAGAATTACAATCATAGAAGTGGAATAATACCAAAAAGTTCTCCAACAACATCATCTTAAGCATAAGGTATTATTGATCCCAATTTTCAAATTCTGATGCCTAATTTTTCTCCCATACATTTTAATATCACTAAGCATAAGGTATCATTGATCCCAATTTTCAAATTATGATGCCTAATTTTTTTTCCATACATTTTAATATCACTAGTAAATGACACGTGGTAGAAAATTTATTTTGAATGTTATTGTTTTAGTGTTGATCCCAATTTTTAAAGAGACAATTTATTTTACACAACAAATTATATAAAAGAACTTTCTTTTACACACGGTCCCACTACAAAAACATCATTTTCACTCCAAAATTCATGAAATAATATGAGATATAAAAATTGCATATCTAACTGAACCGCATAATTAACAATTATGTAACATATTGTCGCATACATACCAACGCATATCCAAATCGGACAGATAGTTAAATATTATGTGAATACTTCCGCATACGTTGTAATCGCATATATCCAAATCCATCGTATAATTTACTTTATTCAAAATTATTTCGCATATATAGTTATCACATACTCTAAATTGATAGCCGCATATTTTACAATTATGCGACATGTTTTCTCATAGTTTACGACTCATTTACCATATGTGATAACATTTCACATACTCTGTTATCGCATATCTAAATCAAATGTAGCATTTTTTTATGATTATGCGACATAGTTTTGCATAGTTTACGAATCACATTTCCAAATCCCACATAATTTGCTATGTGATAACATTTCGCATTTATGTTATTACATATCTAAATTGAACGTCGCATATTTTATGTTATGCGACATATTCTGTAATGCCCCGTTGTTTTTAAAGGGAAAATCCCAAGTTTTCAAAAATAGAAATAGATTTTTTGAAAATTATTTTCCAATTTGAAACCATTTTGCGGGCATTACTCAAAACCAAATTTCATTTTTTCACTTAGCTTATGACACAACTTAAGCTATTCGGAACTCAAGCCCCATATCACATTTTCACAATCGAGACATAATCCCAAAGATACTCAATCAAATAGTCTTGAATCAAATCAATTACAGTCAGTTCAACGTTTCCAATCCAAACCACACAAGTTCGGGAAAAAGGTTCGCGGAAGCACAATATAAACACACAGTTCCTAATAATTAAAGAGACCACGCTCGTCCTTCATCGCAACAGCCACTGGCTCTACCTGAAAAGATATAAATAATGGGGGTGAGCAAACACAAGCTCACCATGGGAATTACCATGCAATATATTCAATATAATAACTGAAGGCATAATTGCAGCATGAACACAAATCACTACATCTACCTCCTACACTGCCCTACGCTTATGTGTACACACCTTTACCGTTGGAATTATCCATCGACGGGAGCTATACCACCGGCATTACCATTAGCGGAAGAACACTCTCATTAGGCAAAAGTAGAAAAAACCACCGGTAAATCCATCGACGGGAGAACCCTCTCGTAGAATAGTGGTTCACATGTATACATGGATTATAAAATCATGCGATTATAGAGACTAAAAGCATACTAAAGTTATCAACACCCACCTCAATCTGGAAATGAGAAAAAATGAAAAAACTGCTCGATAGGTATGAGGGCTCAACTCCTCAGAAAAATGTTCATGGAATAAGCAAAAACGAACGAAATGCACAAAAAAATTTACCTAGATGACGTGTATGGTTTTCATGCGAGTATTGAAATAAAGTTGAAGATGTACCTGTTCCACTCCCAGATGTTCTGCTACTACCAGTCGAGAGTTGCGTTTGAGTCAAGGGAATCCCCGTTTCGTCTGGGTGATGAGTTGTTGTTGGGATCGGTTAGGATCTCGAAATTATGCATGTCACGGATTATCTACGAATTAAAGTCTAAGCGCAGCGAAACTAGAAGCGAGGGTTAAACACGTACCGTTTTATATTTTTGCCGACTCTGAGTCGTCTCTGATTTTCGTTGGTGGAGATCATCTGAGTCTCATGTCCGTCGGGCATCATCGGTTGCTCACCATGCACGTCAGATCATCCCGGACCTTCGTTGACTTGGTCAAACCTCCCAGGACTCGACTTAGACTGGAACTGGGTGTTGGACCCTTGCTGAACCGGTCTGGAATGCTGCTGGGCCGGTCTGGGAAGGCTGTCCGCGTGCTGGGCTGCACTAGTGGGTCGTTTGCGCTGGTGGGCTGCATCGCTTGAGTCGGACGCGCGCTATCAGGTTGCATGAAGGTGGGCTAGAGTGCGCGAGCTGGCGTCGGGCTTCATGCGGGCTTGAGTGGTGAGGAGATACAGGCCGCGCGCGGGCTGAAAGTGGGCTGATGTGGCCCGCGTGCTTTTCTTGCTCTTCCACTGGGCCTCACGCGTTGGGCTCCCTCGTCACCTAGGCCGTGCACAACGTGGGCTTCTTCATGCTGGACTGCACGCTGGCGGACTGGACTGCTCCCCTAGGCTGCGCGCGATTTCCAGGTGGGCTAGGCTGCGACTCCAATGGCTGCTGGTCGAGCCTGTGCGCGGTTGCGGCTTGCCGGAGCTCGCCTGCCCTGCCGCCTTGGCCGATCATCGCTGAAATTTGACTGGAGGATTGCCGGAAGTCCCCAGTCGTCGTGAGATGGTCGCTGGTTAATACCAATACATCAGATTGACACGATTCTCGCCTTTCGCGAAGAACGGACAACCCCGCAATTTGTAGAAACATTACAGGGTTGTATATATATATATATATATATATATATATATACATAAAGGATCATATGAGAATGATAGATAATGAAAGAAATAAAAATGATTGTAGACCATTAGATCCAATATATCAATGGTCATTCTGAAGTCAAACCTAGTCAATCATTAATGGCAACATGGTAAATAACTTGATGTCTCTTAGTCAAATTAAAACATATAAGGGCAATAATGTAGTTTTATACACACCCATCCAATTAGGTGGGGCCCACATCACCAAACCCAATTAAATTTCTCTCTCCACCTTCTCCTCTTTCATCTTCTATGGTTCTACTGGATCTGCTCTCTCTTTTCTCTCTCCCTCGACAGGTCACCATTATATCGTGCTCAGCCACCACCATGCCACCGCCGTATCTCCGCCGTGCATCCTCCGTGCGCAATAGTCTCTGGCGAAATTCGACGAGTAGAATGTCGGCAAGCACATCCTCCTGCCGATCTCCTCACCGTCGGCCGCCGGATTGCATACGAGTCTGCCGCACTTGCGACCCCACTTCTCCACCCCTACCCAGCCACTCCGAGCGGGTCGTCGTCGAGCTTACCTGCGCCCCCGCCGATCCCACCTTCTTCTCTGCAGGAGGCGCCGACAAGGAAGCATCGAGGCAGAAGCTCAGGCGACCTCCCGTTCATGTGCCGGCGCGAGCCTATTTCAACATAGTACCAGTCGATGTCGACTGTATTTCAACAGTTTCGTTTTTATGATTTGTGCGATTTTTTGGGCTGATTTTGGTATATGTAGAGGAGGTGAGGATGCCGGAGATGTGGCACGCCAGCGGCGACTCCAGCGGTCGGTGGTTGACAACGGCGAGGTTGGCTGAATATGAGCGACGGGAGAGTGACGAGAGGATTTTTTGGGGATGGATTTGATTTGGGAAATTAGATAGGTTTGAAGGACTATTTTGCAATTTCTAAACTTTTAATCAATGTATAATTTTATTTATTGATGGAAATTTAGAATTTAATGAAGATTAATATATGCATAATAATGACACATTAAATGCACTATATTGTGGGTAGGTGTGTACTTTTAAAAAATAATGTCATATGTGTATATGAAATTATTAAAAATTTGATAAATAATCCATATTCTCGATAAATGAATTGCACAATATTGTGTATATATATGCGCTTGAAAAGTAAAAAATTCAATAATGAAAATGAAATATAAAAATTCAAATTGAAAATTTCTACATAATCGGATTAATTTGTCGGTTAACATAAAAACCCAAAATAATCGACATAAATAATGTTTTTTCTTATAAAAAACATTATGAGTATTTAATATGTTTTTATTGACGTTTTATATTTTTATTAAAAAAACTAGTATGTATATAAATGAAATATACTGTTCAATCTAACAGTTATTAAGATGCAACTCGTTCAACACACTGGTGCACAATGTCGGTCTGTATTGTGCATATTGGACCAAATGAACATTTGTAACTGAACATAATTATTGGTTTATTCGGGTAGGATATACGAATTATCGTAAATAATCAAAATAATTTGTTATTTATATTAATTTTTTTAATATGTTAATAATTTCATATTATTTTGGTTGAAAAAAAAAATTGAGTTCGGTCGGTATCGATCTCTATTGTGCAATATGTTAGTCGTGATAAAGTGCAGCTTGCAGTTTTCTAATGGACAATGTATTGTTTTATATCGTGCAACGTGAAGAAGTATAAAGTGAACTACCGTCATTTTGGTACAGTAGCATGCTTGTGTGTTTAGGTGGATAAACGAGCTGATTGATGTTAAAGTATTATGTATAGACAATTTTTTTTATTTTTTTTTATTTTTTTTTATGTTGTGTGGTATTTTTTGTGAGAGCTGTTGACGTTAATCGTGCAATGTAACGATAAGTGCAACATGTTGTTTTATAATGTGCAACGTGTTGTTTTATAAATTACATCATGCTGATATATAAAGTACATCACTTATATAATCACATATAAATTATACGTTTTTGAAAACTATATTTAGTCTCTCTCTACCTCTACCTCTCTCTAAAAAACTAAAAACACCAGATCCAGTTTGCCTTCCTCCAGCAGGGGCCTCCGGGCCATCGGGGCGGCGGCTTCTCTAGGCCGTGCGTCCGGCGTTCAAAGGGTTGTTGGATGGGCGGCTTCCTCTTCCCGAGTGAGTCGGGGGGTCAGCCCATTTTGGATCTCGCCTCTTTATCGGTCGCCACGATGGGTTCTGACCGGCGGCTTCTCGGAGTATGAGCAGCGGTGCTTTTTCGGTAAGCTTTAGACCATGGGCTGCGGTTCCGATCATCAATTTGGTAACAAGGGGTGGTCAGGCTGAGATTGGGCCGTTTCGCTTTCCTTCCTTCTCCGATTTTCTCTACTTTTGTGCTTGTTGGTTTCATTGGCGGAGTTAAGTTGGGGCTGGGTCTTGTGTCCCGGTCTCGGATCTTCGGGGTTGTGATGGTGGAGCTTGTTTATTGATCTCCGGGCTCGGGTGTTGTGGTTGTCCACTCGGGAGGGCCATGGTTTTTCAATCTCGAGTCTAGTTAGGCGAACGAGGTTCTGCAGTTTCTGGCTTGCGACTTGGACCGGGTCTTTTCTGTGTCGGTGGTCGGTGTCTAGTTGTGTTCGGTTGGTTTCGGCTGCTGGCTGGAAGGGCTTTATTTTTGTTACGTGTCTTTTATTTTTTGTGTTATGTTGTTTTGTATGTGTTGTTTTGTAGTTTGTGCTTTGTTAGTGTCTGTTTGTCTGTTTTGTTTGTGTGATGTGTTTTTGGTTTGGGCTCTTCACCTCTGTGCACCCGAGTGTCAATCTGTGCGCCCGAGTGTCACTTTATTACCCTGTTGGGGTCGGACACTCGGGTATTACCCTGTTGGAGTCCGACACTTGGGTATTACTCTGTTGGAGTCTTGTAGTTGTGTTAGTTGTTTGTGTTGTTTGTTAGTTTTTTTTCTAGCGTTTTCTAGCCGGTATTCTAGGCGGGCTTCTGAAGACCTGTCCTCCCTTTTTCGTTGTTTTTTTCAGCTGTTGGCTGTTGTGTATTCAGTCGTTGGCTGCTGTATATTCGCACTTTTGTGCTTTTCGACTTATAATATTTCTATCGTTTCAAAAAAAAAACTATATTTTAGTAGATATAATTGTACATTGAATTAAACTAAATAATCGAAATTAATAGTTATTTATTATAATTATAAAAGTATATTTATTATTATTATTATTTGTGCAAATTCAACTTGAAATCGAACCGAAATAATTGAGTTATTTTGTTGGTTAATCAAATTAACCTAAATAATCAAACTAATTTATTAGTTATTATATAAAGAAATATATTAATTATTATTTTTATTATAAAAAATATATTACTTATTATTTATATTATAAAAATATATTAATAATGTTAAAATGTTCATGCGTATCTACATTTTGACATCTACTTCGTTGCTTAACGGGCTTTTAGGTAATATTTTATGTTATTTTTGTTGTTGAATATACATAAAAAACACATGTATAAAAAATAATATATTTATATACTTTTTTAAATTATATATTTGGCCCATGGGTTAAATTGAAATATATTCAAATTTCTTATATTGCATTGTAGTCCATTGAGTTAATCTAATTCTTTAATTAATGCCCTAAAAAATCAGAAAAATATTTTCATTTCTGGTTGTCTGTGATTGCTTAGCTGTTGAGACTCGATCCCTTCTTGCGGCGGCTGATGGCGGGTCTCGATGATGGCGGCCGGTGGTGGTTGTCTGCGAGAGGCGGCGGATCTCGGTGGTTGACTGCATTTGGCAGTTGGAATGCGTTTGGAAGTCGACGGTTATCTCGTGTGCCGGTGTCGGGTGGTGCGCGCCGGTCGCCGGTTGCTATCGGACGAGTCGGCTTCACCGGATACGAACTGCGGCGGCCGGTAGAAGGGCAGAGACGGGGGATTCTCCGGCGCGATGACGGCGACAGATTTAATTGCTGTGGTCAGTTGACGATGGTCGGCGGCGGACTTCATGGAGGTGGTAGGGATTCCACTCTCCGACGTTCCGCAGCGTCACCGACGGTGGAGGTTCTAAAGCTTTGTCCGGATTGTGATGGCGGTCGCCGACGGGAGCGTGGAGGATGCGGCAGGCAGTGAATGGCGGGCCACTGCCAGTGGACGGTGGCAGAATTTTTCAAAACTGAGTGATGTTGATGTGTGCGTGTATTTTGTATGTGAGTGTGTGTGAGAGAGTGTGGTGTGGGGTGGGGGTGATATGAAGTTGGTGGGTTGATCGTGATTGGGGTAGTTGGCAGTGAATAAATGTGTTATGAGGCCCATTTTTTGGGTGATGTTTAAAAAATTACTACATTACCCTCAATGAAAGTATAATTTTGGCTTTTTTTACCCATTAGATCATTCGATCTAATGGTTACGATTTATTCTTATTTCTCTCATTGAGAACCATTCTCACTATTAAATGCTCATGAGCCAACAATTATATATATATAGGGGGCAGATCAAATGCGGCCAGCTCCTAAAATGCGCCAAACTCTTAAAATGCGGACAACTCTTAGCAACTACAGACAAGTCGCAACTACAGAGTACCTAGCTACTACTAACCTAGCAACTACAGAGAACTAACCTAGCAACTACAGAGAACTAACCTAGCTGAGCAACTACAGAGAACTAACTTAGCAACTACAAAGGACTAACCTAGCAACTAGTAACAACAAAAAAAAAGAATGCTCTCCCCTCTCTCTAGATTTCTATCTCTAGGAGTTACCTTATCCTTTTTCACCCTCAAACACCACCCCTCCTCTCCTCGGCATCTAACCCCGCCTAGCCGCCCCACCGGCCGCCGCCGCCGGCGGCCTCCCCGGCCTCGGGGTTTCTTTTCATTTTTCCAAATTATTCCAACATTTATTCTCAATTTTATAACTATTTTCCAACCTTTACGTTTTTTTTTCTTTCGGTCCTCTAATCACCTTTTCGAATACTCATGGCCCCTCCGGTCACTATTCCGGCAAGTCAATCGTCGGATTTGGAGCGATTCATTTCACAGCCGGAAATCCGAGAGGCTCTCTCGGTCTTCCTTGAAAAAATCAAAACCGAAAAGTCAGAACAAGAAGAAAGAAAAATCGAAGAAGAAGGAGAAAGACAAAATGAAAAAGAAGAAGAAAGAAACGATGTGGAAAAAGGTGAAATAATCGAAGGAATGGAAAAAAATCGAGACAAGACCTCTGTTGGTCTTAGCACATATAACCGAGGCTCCATAACCAAAAATTTTGAACCACTGCTCGCGTTCGGGTCTGTTCATCCATCGCCGATTCCTACCTCGGCGGAAAGGCAGATCCCCGCCGCCATGTCGTGCTTGTTGAATGGTCAACGGCTTCAGTCACCATCTCAACCTTTATCTACAGAACTAATGTTAGGGTTTGATGCTCGGAGTGATAATGGGGCCAACTTTCAGGTAAGTAGCCATACTTTGGGCAAACCTATCTCATTGGGCCAAATAACGCCTGGGCCCAAATTGTCTTCACAGCCTGACCACCATTCAGCCCCTACTCAATCCAAGATCCACACCCTTCGACCTCAACCCCAAGCCTCTTCCTCAGGCACAATGTCGGTGGCCCACAATTCAAACCATATTGACCTTCAGTTTAGCCCTCATTTGGGTTTACCTCTCGGGTCCACCCAACCCAATCCTCTCTTTCATCCCACCAATCAACCTACCTCCTCACAGCCCAACCTCTAGCCCATATCCCCATCTCTCCAGTCCGCCACACATACTTCCTTCGCCCCTCCGCAGCCCGCATCCCAGCTTTTCTCCTTCCAGCAACACGCCGCCACCATCATCCAACCGACGGCCAACGTTCACCTGCCCTGCACTGGCGCCGGCACCAGCATAGCTACCGAAAAACCTCAGTCGGACGGTAAGACAGTCGGGGCTGCCCCGGAGTCGATCTCTACAGCCGGAATTCTCGGACCCCGACCAAAATCACCCAATTCGACCGATGAGCTCGCCGGAATAGTCAATCTTCCTACTAGAGATCCTGAACCGGCCACTTTATATGTACGAGAAGAAGGGGTGGTTGTAGCGGGCCAAAACCCGACGACCGCGACTCACCTTCCCGAGCACCCCCCGATCGGGACTCCGCCGACGGCCAGCTCCACGGCCAACCCTGTTACATCTGGGCTCCTTCCGGGCAACTCCACTGGCCCGCTTTCTTTCATCCATCGCCGATTCCTACCTCGGCGGAAAGGCAGATCCCCGCCGCCATGTCGTGCTTGTTGAATGGTCAACGGCTTCAGTCACCATCTCAACCTTTATCTACAGAACTAATGTTAGGGTTTGATGCTCGGAGTGATAATGGGGCCAACTTTCAGGTAAGTAGCCATACTTTGGGCAAACCTATCTTATTGGGCCAAATAACGCCTGGGCCCAAATTGTCTTCACAGCCTGACCACCATTCAGCCCCTACTCAATCCAAGATCCACACCCTTCGACCTCAACCCCAAGCCTCTTCCTCAGGCACAATGTCGGTGGCCCACAATTCAAACCATATTGACCTTCAGTTTAGCCCTCATTTGGGTTTACCTCTCGGGTCCACCCAACCCAATCCTCTCTCTCATCCCACCAATCAACCTACCTCCTCACAGCCCAACCTCTAGCCCATATCCCCATCTCTCCAGTCCGCCACACACACTTCCTCCGCCCCTCCGCAGCCCGCATCCCAGCTTTTCTCCTTCCAGCAACACGCCGCCACCATCATCCAACCGACGACCAACGTTCACCTGCCCTGCACCGGTGCCGGCGCCAGCATAGCTACCGAAAAATCTCAGTCGGACGGTAAGACAGTCGGGGCTGCCCCGGAGTCGATCTCTACAGCCGGAATTCTCGGACCCCGACCAAAATCACCCAATCCGACCGATGAGCTCGCCGGAATAGTCAATCTTTCTACTAGAGATCCTGAACCGGCCACTTTATATGTACGAGAAGAAGGGGTGGTTGTAGCGGGCCAAAACCCGACGACCGCGACTCACCTTCCCGGGCACGCCCCGATCGGGACTCCGCCGACGGCCGGCTCCACGGCCAACCCTGTTACATCTGGGCTCCTTCCGGGCAACTCCACTGGCCCGCTTTCTTTCCAAGAGGCTATTACGGGGAAAAGAGATGGCGACACGGGTGGACCGCGTTCGACGCCCAAGGATTTCACCTTAGACGAGGGATACGAGAATGCTTGCGGAACCATCATCCGCTTGGAGGGAAACAAGGTGAAGGCCCGATTCACTGAAGCCGAATCTGACGCTCTTGCCGGTAAGTTAGCTAACACCCTGGTTTTTAAGTTTTCTTATGCTATCACTGCCCTCCGAGATATATCGGCTGGATTAGGTAAACTAGGTTTTAAGGGTAGAGTGTCGTCTAAGTGGTATAATTTCAACCACCTCCTAGTCTCTTTTCATCTCCCCGAGGACTATAACGAGGTTTGGCTTAAGACCTCGATTCACGTGTGTGGATGCCCAGCTAGGGTGTTCATGTATAATGCCGGGTTTAACCCGAAGACGGAGACGCCTGTTGTCCCCATGTGGTGCCGTCTTCCCGGCCTCCCACCCCACCTTTACGACCGTGTTTCCATCACTACGCTTGCTAAGTGTATTGGACAGCCGATTCGTATTGACGCCCCAATGGCCCTTCAGTCGAGGGTTAACGTGGCGCGATTTTGTGTAGAGATAGACCTCAGAGTTGAGCCCGTCCATGAGATTGAGATTGAGCAGGGCTCGGAGACCTTTGCTCAGAGGGTGATCTATGAGAAGATCCCCGCGTTCTGCACTTTGTGCAGTCATGTGGGCCATATTGCGGCTGATTGCTACACTAGTGGCAATAAGCCATGGCCCACACTTCCGCAGCGCCACCGTACGACTCAGTCGGGGCCCTCAACCAGCCGGAGGGACCCGAAGGGAAAGGGAAAAAGCCCTTTTCGTGTGCCCGAGACCCCGAAGGGGTCTAAGGATAAGGGCAAGGTTGTGATTGACGCCATTGCCCAAACTAGGAAGGATGCTCATCCTAACCAGCCTAAGCAGTTGGCCATAGTTGGGCCCAAGCCCAAGTCCACGGGTTTTCTTCCCAGACAGACCTTACAGTCGGCCTTCAAGGCCAACCACTCGTACTTTGCTATTCTCTCCCCAGATGCAGAGAATGAAGTTGTGCCTTCCACCAGTGGCCCACCTAGGATTACGGACCTTACGCTTCTTAATGATGACGACCTCCTTGTAGACGATATGGACCAGCCGGATGACTCGTCCAGGGGCGAGTCCATCCACTTATCTGATGACAGTGCGCGCAATGCTGGTCCTTTGACTGTGCATGCATCTAGCCCGGACCGCTCTCTGAATTTGAGGGCCACTGTCGTCACCGCTCTCCCGAAAGGGGATGAGTCGGCCCATCTTCTCCCTGCTGAGAGTGGGAGCTCGGCTGAGCATATAGCCAGCCCCCATCCTCCATCTGCGGCGAGCACCTGAGTGTCTCACCTGCTGGATCCTCTCTTTCATTCATCCCCGAGCAGGCAAGCAGTCTTAACCGCGCCCAGCATGACGTCTCATGCGAGAGCTTCGTCTCTAGTGCTTTCGTTCACTATGACAGACAGGAGACAGCCCCAGAGATGGGGCAACCCGCTAGTGCTGCGCTAGGTCAGACTGCCCAGCCAGACGACACACAAGCCACGAGCACCTACCGAGGCAGGCATTCCACGAGGACCAGAGCCACGCAGCGCACGACACGACGGACGGTCTCCCCTGCTATTCGATCCTTCCGCCACATTCCTTCTTTAGGTGGCCCGACTCACCCTCGTCACAGACAGACTATGTTCGGTGGCTCTTGCGACCGTTGATATGTCTATCACATCTATAACTTGGAATGGTCGTGGCCTGGTGAATAGGGCTACTCTCTCTCACCTCCATTCTCTCATTCGTGATCACAGACTCGATTTTGTTGGCTTTATTGAGCCGATGATTCGCACCCCTTCTTTTGACTACTACTCGCGTTACCTTGGCTTTCACTCGGGCGTGGGTAATATTTCGCATAAGATCTGGTTCTTTCACTCAGGTGACTACACTTGTCGGGTCCTCCGTGACACCGATCAGGTGCTTCACGTTGA